GAAGGAAGGAAGGAAGGAAGGAAGGAAGGAAGGAAGGAAGGAAGGAACCAACCAACCAACCAACCAACCAACCAACCAACCAAATAAATTGTTGGTCAGAAAAGGGGCTACCAGGCTCCATCTGTTTTTTTTTTTTGCAACCATAGATTAACATGTTATCTTCTTGATTTCTGTACAATATGGTTAATTGCTTCCTAGAGCATTTCTCAAATTATTTTAAATTCTGTTTACACAATTGTGAATTATCTAGGGATGGGATTCTACCGATTCAGACCAGTTCGGGTGAATCCTTTGCTCTGAACATCAGCTGGCAGTGAACTGGTTCGCTGCACCGATCATGTGGGCCTCCCCGCCAGCCCCTGCTCTTTCCTGCGCTTTATTTCCTTTTGTTAGTGCACAGCTGATACGTACGGCAGAGCAGTTTGCCACACCTCAGCTGTTTTATTCACAGGGACTGTTGTAGAAGATAAGCGTTAGAGCTTTTTTTTTTTTTAACGTGGCGCGCGTGTGCAAAGCGCGTGATCACCGAACCGGTTGTTATACCAGCGGAATCCCACCCCTGGAATTATCATTGCACAGGAAATAGCAGGTAGGGAAGAAGACAGGATAAGGAGGACCAATGAAATAATGCAGGGGTCCCCAATATTTCCAGCTTAGCCTAGCATTGGGGGGGTGTCATGTGAGTGGCAGGTGCATGTGTGTGTGCACAGCTGCATTTGTGCTCGCACAGGAATGGAGGTTTGCACACACGAGCAGAGCTTTGCACACAAATGTAAGAGCCCTCCACTCACACAAATGTGAGCTTGCCCATTTCTCCCATGGTCTGGGTGGGGGACCTGTGAAATAATGGAGAGAAGAAGAACGTAGTGGTGTCATTTTGAAGATAAAAGCAGGGGTGGGTTTCTACTGGTTCTGTCCACCTCTGTAGAACCGGTAGCTCTGAAAAGCAGCAGACATAGAACCGGTTCTATGCCTGCTGATGTTTTCGCCCACCTGTTCACCCAAGCTTTTACCTGATCTTTATTTCCTGATTTCCCTTCAGCTGCTGAATGAGGCACAGCTGCAGTTAAAAAAACAAGAAAAGAGGGCTGTTTCAAAGGCTGTTTCTCTGCAAGCAGTTGCTGATGACGATTTACAGGCGTGCGGTTCGCAGCCTGCAGGGAAGCTCGTAAATCCCGAACCAGTAGTTAACCCTGCTGTATCCCACCCCTGGATACAAGTCACGCTTCCATATTTTACTATCAAGAAAGCAGAATTGTGGATGCTCCGTTAAAGGTCGTCTTCAAAAAAGATTGGACAGCCATTTGTCTGGGATGGAATAAAGTCTCCTGCCTTGAGCAGGGGGTTGGACTAGAAGACCTCCAAGGTCCCTGCCTGCCTTATGATTCTATGATTCTATAATACATGAGTGATGCCTTCTTTATTTACAAAATACTTCTATTCTGCTTTTCCTCATATTGGACACCAGGGTGGGCTCTTACATACACAATCAATTACTTTAAAAACCCAGACTTTTAAAACTATTATCCAAGAGCCCTAATGATAGAGGGCTAACGATTTTTAATACAGAAGCAGATGGAAATGTATCAATTAAAATGCTTGGCTGAGATGCATAGCTTAGCTATACTTCATTGGAGAAAGCCTGTTCTAAACCCGGGTTGCAACAGAGAGAAAAAAACGATCCCTATGTAATAGTATAAAGAAGACACTAATTTATATTGATATTTAAAAAAAAAACTTTAAGGAGATAGGAAAAAAGACAGAGCTTTTTTTAGTACATTCCCAGATTAAAATTTTCTGAAAGAAAAAAAAATTACAAACCACTTTCCTACATATAGGCAGTGTGTTGGCTCAGCTGTTAAGGAACCGGGCTTGTCTGCCAGCTGTCCAGGTTTGAGACCCGAGCGCCACTTGATGGGATGAGCTCCGTCCTTGCCGCAGCTCCTATCAACCTAGCAGTTTGAAAGCGTGCAAATGTGAGTAGATAAATAGGTACCACTTCGGTGGGAGGATAACAGGGCTCTGCGATGCTGGCCACATGCCCGAAATGACAGTGCTGGCTCCATGCCCTGCAAACAGAGCTGAGCACTGCCCCCTATAGTCATGTACATGTATACAGTACATACATGCCAGACTTTGCCTTTGTATTTTTAGCAGAACATCTGGGCCACTCCCAACAAAATAATATAGATGTTTCCATGAAGTCAGCAGGAGCGAAGGTGAGTTCACCACCACACCCAAGAGAGAGCATTCAAGAGACAGCGGGCACCGGCTATGGGAAGGTTGTCTGATTTGAGTTGCAAAGATCCGGATCGCCCCCAAATGGAGGCTTTGGGCTGCCACCCAACGGCTACCCGGATTTTTGCAGCCAACTACAATAATCAAAGGAAGCAAAAGGGGGGGGGGGGGGGCGGTGATCTGCAGGGAGGTGGGCGTGGCTGGAGCCTCATCCTTCCCCGCATCTAATTAGGAGTAGCGGGAAGAGGGTGGAGACGACAAGAGAAGGCTTCTCTCTCTCCCCATTGGTTGGAAGGCGGGGGGGGGCGGGGCCGCGGCCGTTGGCAAAGTGAAGCCAGTGCGCCTGCGTGATGCCGGCCGGCCACCTCCCTCCTTTCAGTCCCGCCTGACAGGCGAGGCGGGAGGAGTTGGTTGGTCTCCGTCGCCCCTGCGGTTGCTGTCTGAGGGGAGATGCGGCGGCTGGCCGGAGCCGTCCTCGGGCTCTGAGTCGCCGGGACCGCCAGGCAGGGCGCGGCCAAGAAAAGGCTCGGGACAGACTCATGAGCACCGCCTTCCCCGCGGCCGGGCGTTGCCGCCCTTCTCCTTCCCAGCGCCGGTAGCCGAGCCGGCGGGCGGGCGGGCGGCATGTCGTCGCCGACGTGGCTGAGCTGCCGGTTGGCGCTGCGCTTGGGCTCGTCTCGCCTCAGCGAGTGCCGCTGCCTCCTGCTCCTCCGCCGGCGCCTGAGCGCCCTCCGCCGCGCCCCCAGGCCCGTAGACGGACTGTGGCTGCCGCCCGCGGCCTCCTGCTTGGGTTCCCCGCGGCCGCTGGGCACGCACCCCAAGAAGGAGCCCATAGAGGCGCTCAACACGGCGCAGGGGGCCCGCGACTTCATCTACAGCCTCCACTCGACGGAGCGGAGCTGCTTGCTGAGGGAGTTGCACCGCTTCGAGTCCATCGCCATCGCACAAGGTGAGGAGGGCCACCCCCCCGTACCCCACAACCACCGCCACGGGAGGGAGGGGAGAAACCCAGGAATGACCCCCGTGCACGTGTGAACCGACCCCGGGCGCCGCGCTTTTGGCTGTGGCTCTGCTTGGCTGGTGGGGGGAGGAGTCATTGCGAACACGCATCTCTTGGAAAGGGGAGGGTGAAGCGCGCTTTGGGGGGCAGGCGGGCCGGAGTGCGAGGCTTGCTTTCTTGGGAAGTCGAGTAAAACACGTGTACGCGCGCAGTCGGTGCCAGAGATGGAGACGAGAGAGAGAGGGAGAGAGACTGAGACTGGCTTGGGAATGTATGCATCGGCTCTTGAGGGCTGCTTTGGCGATTCTCCCTAGGACAAATCCAAATTAACCAAACTGGGTCCGGGGCATGTGTGTGTTTGTGTGTATGACAACTTCCCACAGCCAATTTGCTGCTGGACAACTCGCTGCAGGACGAAAGTGACTAATATCAAAGAAATGCAGGGGTGGAACGAATCATATTGGGGAAAAAAAGGATGTAAAAGAAGGGACAGAATAGGTACAGGCTAATACTTGGAATAGACACTCCCTGCTGGAGCAGGGGGTTGGACTAGATGACCTCCAAGGTCCCTTCCAACTCTTGTTATTCCACGAATGAAATGCAAATCTTAACATTATTTACTTTAAACGAATAGAATTGTTAAATTGTCTCGCAGCGAGAGTTGGGCGTGGTAAGTTGTCCCATTCCGACTTCGGGAGCCTGTCATTCCGCTTATTAATTGCAGTTGAAACAAGCAAAGCTCCCAAATCCTGAGCAGGTGTGTGCATGCCTGCATTTTGCTGTAGGAAAATATTCTCCTCCCTGCGGATCCTCTGTGGTGGCAGCTGATGGCTGGGCACGTGCAGTTGTGAGGTTTTTTTTTTTTTTTTTGCTTGCTACTTGCTTTTCCAGCTGAATCCCGTGCCAGATGAGTGTTACCATGCTGGCTGCTTTGCCCTAAATGTTATCTGAATGGGCCTCTTCTCATATTTTCCTTTAGCTGTTTCAGAGTATGGTGCAAGAAGAGACTCTGTGTACAACTTTGATTGCCTCTTTGGGCAGGTCTCTTTTATTAAAAAGAACAAAAACAATGGTTTCTAGAGGAGCAGAGTGTTTTCAATACTGTAGAATGTCTACATCACTTGAGACAACTTGCGTCTCATCGCCTGAGACTTTCAAGAAAAGATTGGACTCCCATTTGTCAGAAATGGTGTAGGGTCTCCCGCTTGGGGGGGTTGGACTAGATGACCTACAAGGTCCCTTCCAACTCTGATTATCTGTAATCTGAATGTTTTTTTTTTTAAATAGAGTGACAGAGTTGGAAGTGACCTTGGAGGTCTTCTAATCCAACCTCCCCCCAACAAGCAGAGAAAACCTTACATAGTTTCAGAAAAAAGGATTATCCAATCTCTTCTTAAAAGCCCACAACTTCTGGAGGGAAGTTGTTCCACTGATTAATTGTTCTGTCAGTAAATTTCTCCTTAGTTCTGGGCTGGTTCTCTCCTTGATTAGTCTCCATCCATTTTTTTAAAAAAATTCTGGTGTTTCAGCACATGTGCATATCCCTCCCTCTGTTCTGGTTCTTAAGGTTCATTGGTGTGCCTGATAGCAGAGTGGATTTGATTTAAATCAAGTCTGTTTAAATCACTAGTAAAAAGGCTTGATTTAAATCAACTCGATATATATCATAATTTTTAAAGAGCAACTGTCATCTCTCCCACAGTGGCTCCTTCTTTGACCTTCTGTTGACTCACAGACAGTCCCAATATTTATTTATTTATTGAATTTATATTGCCGCCTGTTCGCCCATGGCAACTCGAGGCGGCTTACAGAATATAAAACCACATTTAAAACAATAAAAACTAACAATCAAATAAATTAATAAAATACAATATAACAAAATCATCCCCCAATTCTTGCCCCAATGACAGCAGATCATACAAGCTATTTAATGGACTCCATGTGCTCTGGGTTCCCCAGGCCCGCTAGCAAAACAAGGTAGTACCTTCTGGCAAATATTGCAGAATATATAGCCTCGTGCTACATAACTAAGCTCCATTTCATGCTGAATAAACACTATTAATGTATCTTAAATAGAAAACTATCTTTAGATAGATTTTTACTCCAAAAGCATTTTATTAAAATAAATTTGATAAAAATAAAAAATATGATTTTTTTTAATTTTTAAATCAATTTTTATCCTCCCTGCCTGTTAGTGTCCAACTGCAGCTTGCATACAGGGACTAGAACAATGTTTCGATGAAGCCTCCATTGGTTTGTTGATGTTTTAAGCAGTGGAACTTAAACAGGTACCATCTAGAGCATTCACAGAGTTGGCTTAATTTCAGTCAGGAATCAAAGCCAAAGCAAACAAAGGGATATTTTAAAAAAAATGTGAGCTAGGACATTGAAGAATATTGTGTCAAGTGTTGGTAAAATATGCACAAAAATATAGGGGAAAGTAGTATTTTGACCCAAGATTTGTGTACCTTCGATTTCTTTGGCTTATTTTTTTTTCTGCACTCTGCATAATGTTGCCTACCCCAAAAGGAAATATAATGTGTATGTTCAAAACACCTGAGTGTTCATGTTCATTGTCAGTGTTGATTATGGTTCTCCTTCAAATGTAATCAATTGAGCTATTTACTATTTGTTTCTGAAAGTCTACGTAGACTACAAGTTTCTTCAATAACTTTTAGCCCCATAAACAAAACTGGAAAGGAGGCATTCTTCTGTAGAGTGGTACGAAATAACCATGTTGCATTGCATTGTGATGATACAGTCAGTTACTCCTAGCTTTTTTTTTTTTTGGTGTGTGCTAATTAGCAGTTTGTAATTAGCAGCTAACAGATGCACATGTCTCAGTGGAACTTGAAGAGAACTGCCACGCTACACATTTATATGACATATATGATGTTCTGGAAGATTGTATATCCTTCAAGTAAAAATTACGTGATGTGGAGGTACTCCTTGATTTACAACCACAGTTGGGCCCAAAATGTCCATTGCTAAGCCAGGTAGTTTTTCAGCGAGTTGCACTGTATTTTATGACCTTTTTGCCATGGTTGATAAGCAAATCATTGCAGTTATTAAGTGAACCACATGGTCATTAAGCAAATCTAGCTTCTCCGATTATCTTTACTTGTCAGAAGCCAGCTGGGAAGGTTGCAGATGGCAATCACATGACTCTGTGATGCTGCGACCATCATAAATAAATGCTGTTTTATTTATTTATTTAGGAGGTTTATATTGCTGCCTATTCACACGTGGTGACTCAAGGCGGCTTACAAAAATATAAGCCAAATTTTGATTGTGTGCTGTGGGATTGCTGTGATGGTTATATGTGTCGGGATCAGTCCTAAGTCAGTTTTTTCAATGCTGTTGTAACTTTGATCCCCAAATGAATGGTGGTAAGCCAAGGACTATCTGTAATTCCCTTAGTTTTGCTGAGAACAATTATCTCAGTAAAAGACTGCCATTGGATTGTGCCCTTTATAGCTAGTCCTCAACTTACAACCAGTCATGTCATTGCCCTTTGCAACCATTTGTTTGGCGACTGTTCAAAGTTACAGCAGCTCTGAAAAAAGTGACTTATGACTGTTTTTCACATATACGACCATCGCAGCATCCCCATGGTCATGCGATTGAAATTTGGATCCTTCTTAACTTGGCATGTATTTATGACAGTTGCCATGTCCTGGGGTCATGTGATCACCTTTTGAAACCACCTGACAAGCAGAGTCAATGGGGAAGCCAGATTCACTGAACAACTGGGTCAAGAAAGGTTATAAAATGGGGCAAAACTCACTTAACAAATGTTTTGCTTAGCAACATAAATTTTGGGTTCAAATGTCATATGTCAAGGATAACCTGTATTTGTAAATCTTGACTATTAAAATGGATGAGAGCTTATGAATATAGAGCAACCACTTAAGTTTTAAAGGAATAGAATATAAATATCATACCTCATTGAAGATTGATCTTATATTGAGACTTTAATTGGGGCAATTTGGGGCAGCTTTATTTAAAGTTTATAGCAGAGATTGGCTTCACATATGTTACATCATAATGTAGTTTTTGTTTTGGCTTACAGTGTTGCCTGAATTGAAACATTATGTTATATAAATTCAGCCTCTATGAATAACATTTTACAAAGAAATAGAATATACATCTCTAACTGCTTACAAGCTATATTATTCACATCAGGAGAAACAAAAAGGGAAGAAAAGTGCAACTAGTATTAACAGATACTGGTTAAAAAGAAGAAATCTGACACAGATTTAATTAATTAAGATACATTAATTCATACCTCTAAGCTGTGTTAGTGTAACGTAGCAAAGATAGTCTAATAGCATCTTAAAATGAACAAATTTATTTTTGCAGAATATGACTAGATATTTCCAGCGTCAAAGTGCTTAAGTTGTGTTCATACTTTATGCTAAATCTTGCTTAATGTAGTTTGGTTCACTTTGAAATAGCCTGATATTGATATCAAATCATTGTGATTTATAGGTTTGGATTATAAATAAAATAGGGTCCTGCCTTAATCAACAAATGTCAATTAAAGCGAATACTGGCTGGCATGGCATGGTGTGTGAATTAATCTTAATGATGAGCAATTGCATTAAATTACCAGTTACATATGTGAGTTGCATCATAGTACAAATAATGCCTACTCAGCTTTTTCCAAAACAAGTGACAGCTAATTATGAGTTTCAGTCTGCATACGTGTGATTGTGCTGAAGTCTAAAGTAACTATGAGTCTATTATTTTCACATTGATTTTTCACTCTTTAGCAATTCTTCAGCTATGTCAACCTTTGAAATGGAAAATATCAAAACTGCTTGCTTTGCTTTTTTTATTTTCATCTGTTACAGACTATTAACTGCAAACTATTACGCCTAAGTTTTGTATTTTATGTATTTAGGATGTTGCTAGCATTTGACCTGGATCCATATAATGGTATCCTT